GATGAGATGTCTTCATCCTTCTTATCTTTGTCCCCCTGTAAGTCATGTGTAGTTTTTTGCTACTTTATTGAGGTATAATTTATATCCTGTCAAATTAATGCTTTTGAGTGTATACTTCTGTGAGTTCTGACAAACACACACAGTTGTTTAACTACCTGCACAGACAGGATACAGAATGTTTCCGTCACCCCCGAGGGTGCCCCATTCCCATCCTCGGCTCCTAGAAATCACTTCATATTAGTCTGTTTGGGCTGCCACACAGAACACCATAGACCAGGGGGTTTAAACAACAGACATTTAGTTTTGCTCATTCTGGAGGCTAAAAGTCCAAGATCAATGTGTGATTAGGGTTCTTTTTTTTCTTTTTTTTTTTTCTTTTTTTTTTTTTTTTTTTTGAGACAGAGTCTTGCTCTGTCACCCAGGCTGGAGTGCCACGGTGAGATCTTGACTCACTGCAACCTCTGCCTCCTGGGTTCAAGCGATTCTCCTGCCTCACCTCCAGAGTAACTGGGATTACAGGTGTCTGCCACCATGCCTGGCTAATTTTTTTTTTTTTTTTTTTTTTTGTATTTTTAGTAGAGATGGGGTTTCGCTATGTTGGCCAGACTGGTCTCGAACTCCTGACATCTGAGCCTGGCCAGGGCTGGCTTCTTGTGAGGCCTGTCTTGGGGATGAGTATCTTTCTGCTGTGTCTTCACATGGTGGGAAGAGAGAGAGAGAGAAAGAAAGCAAGAGATCTGGCATCTCTTCTTCTTCTTCTTCTTTTTTTTTTTTTTCCCCAAGATGGAGTTTAGTTCTGCTGCCAGGCTGGAGTGCAGTGGTGCAATCTTGACTCACTGCAACCTCCTCCTCCTGGGTTCAAGTGATTCTCCTGCCTCAGCTTCCCGAGTACCTGGGATTACAGACACCCACCACCACGCTTGTCTAATTTTCATATTTTTAGTAGCGACGGGGTTTCACCATGTTGGCCAGGATGGTCTCAATCTCCTGACCTCGTGATCCGCCCACCTCAGCCTTCCAAAGTGTTGGGATTACAGGCCACTGGGCCCGGCCTCTCTTCTTCTTCTTATAAGGACACTTATCCAACCAGATTAGGGCTCCACTACCCTTATGACCTCATTTAACCTTTAACCTTAATTACCTTCCCAAAGGCCTTATCTCCAAATATAGATGCTCCCTGAGTCACGAAGGGGCTATGTCCCAATAAACCCACCATTAATTGAAAATGCATTTAATGCTGGCAACATAGCAGGCAGTCCTTAATTTATGGCAGTCTGACTCATGACTTTTTGGCTTTCCAGTAGTGCGGACGTGATACACATTCAGTGGAAACTATAACCCCACTGTATTAATAAGTTGTAAGGAGTGCCTAGATTTAAAATGAGGTTACATTTGGATAAACCCATCATAAAGGTAGAAATCATAAGTCAGGGACTGTCTGTGCCGTCACATCAGGAGTTAGGGCTTCAACATATGAATCTTGTGGGAGACACGGTTCAGTCCACATCACTGCTGTTCTATTCTTTGTCCTTACAATTTTGCATTTTCCAGAACATCATATAAATGGAATCATGTGCTACGTAGCCTTTTCAATCTGAATTTTCTCACTGGGCATACTGTGTATCGGTATTTTAATGAATATATCAATATTTCATTTGTTTTTACTGCTGAATAGTATTCCACTGTAGGGATGTACCACAGTTTATGCATTGATGAGGTGAAGGACATTTGGGCTGTTTCCAGATTTTGGCAATTTTTAATACAGCCACAAAAAATATTCACATACACGTTCTATGTGAACATAAATATTCATTTTTTTTTTTTGGGTAAATACCTAGGGGAGAGATTTTGGGTTCAATGGTAAGTGTATACATTTATAAGAAACTGTCAAATTATTTTCCAAAGTGGTTCAGCCATGTTGCATTCCCACAAGCCATGTGTGAGACTTCCAGTTACTCCAAATCCTCAAAATTCTTGGTATAGTGAGGTTCCCCCTTACTAAATAAATAAATAATATTGTTTGGCCATTTAAAATAGTTATATAGTAGTATCTCAGGGTTTTTTTTTTTTTTGGCTCATTTGTAATTGTGTGATTTGTTTTCTTATTATTGAGTTTTGAAAGTGCTTTCAATGTTTTTGAATACAGGTGGTTTTTTTTTTTCATGAGACATTTGATTTATAAATATTTTCTCCCAGAACGTGGCTTATCTTTTCATTTTTAAGACTGTCATTCAATGAACAACAGTTTTTAGTTTAGATGAAGTCCTATGTATCCATTTCTTCTTTGGTAACTTTAAAAATAGATAGATTTTATTAGATTATGCTTTGTATTTCACATCAAAGAAATCTTTGTCTAAATCAAGGTGATAAAGATTTAACTTCTATGTTTTCATGTATAATTTTTATAGCTTTAGATTTTACATTTAGGTCTGTGGTTCATTTTGAGCTTCTTACATACATGCATTTATAATTTACATCAAATTAAAAACATTATTCTAATATTTTTACTGTCCTTCCCCTCCTTTCTGTCTAGGACTCCATAAACATGGATGTTAGACCACCCAATGTTATCCTACAGATCACTGAGTCTCCATTCGTTTTTTCACTTTCTTCTCTGTGTCTCAATATTGCTATGCTTTTGAGGTCCGTAATCTTTTTATTCTGCAGTATTTAATCTATTAAGTCTATGCATTGAATTTTTTATTTTGGATATTGTATTTTCATTTCTAGAAGTTCCATTTATACAAAAAATGTTTCATTTAAAAATATATACCTTTCATTTCTCATCATGTTCAAGATATTTTTCAATTATTGAGCATATTTAAATAGCTGTTTAAAGTCATTGTCTCTTAATGCCATTATCTCTGTCATATCTGAGTCTATTTCTTTTGACTGTTCTTTCTCGTGGTTATTGGTCAAATTTTGCTGCTTGTTGGCATGTCTAGTAATTTTGCTCAGGCACTAGACATTATTTATGCCACATTGTTCTGAGTGTCAATGTTGTTGTCTTCCTTTACAGCAGGGGCCCCCAACCCTGGTCCACAGATTGGTACTGGTCATCCATGGCCTGGTAGGAACTGGACTGCACAGCAGGAGGTGAGCTGCAGGCAGGTGAGCATTACTGCCTGAGCTCCACCTCCTGTCAGATCAGTGGCAGTACTGGATTCTCATAGGAGCGTGAACCATATTGTGAATCTGCATATGCAGGTGCTCTAGGTTGCATGCTCCTTATGAGAATCTAATGCCTGATGATCTAAGGTTGAACAGTTTCACCCTGAAACCATCTCTGCCCCCACCCTAGTCCATGGAAAAATTGTCTTCCACAAAACCAGTCCCTGGTGCCAACAAGGTTGGGGACCACTGCTTTACAGTGTATTGAAATTTGTTTTGTCAGGGAGCAAAACTATTTGTATGTCAGTTTAACCCTTTTAAAGCTCACTTAAAGCTTTTGTAGGTCAGTTCTAGAGTCGCCCATATTGCACAGCTAGTTTATATTTATGCTCCAGGCATTCAACACAGTTCCTCTGCTCTGGCTGGTAGGAACTTGCACGTGTCTCAGCTCTGGGCGAGCTGTTTGTTGTTCAGCTTGCAGCTCTCCAGCAGTCGTGCTTTGCCCAGCCTTGTGCAGTTTACCCACACATACATGTGGCTTAATCTTCATCCAAAGACTCAAGGTGATCCTGAGAATATTTCTGGAGTTTTTTTTTTTTTCTTCTGTGTAGTTCCTTCCTCTTTAGTACTCTGCCTCACACATTGTAGCAGTCCTGACCTCTCTAAGCCGCTATCTGTGCCTTCTCAACTCAGTGAGACTACTGAACACCCCGTCCCTGCACTGTGGTCTGGGACTTGCCCTCAGGCAGAAAGTCAAGGGGATTGTGGGGCTCAACTTTGTTTTCCTGTTCTCTAGGATCACAACCCCAGGCTGCCCATTTTCCAATGCCTGAAAAGAGTTGTTTCATTCATTTTGTCCATTTTTCTAGGTTTCTTTCTTTCTCCTTTTTTTTTTTTTAAATGCAGGAGGGCAAGTCTCATATCAGTTTTTCCTTCATGGTAGCAGCTTCAATATCATATTTAAGTTTCTCCATCTGAGCGATGGGGATGACCATACCTACCTTTTAGGGCCATCATGAGTCACACAAGGAGATAAACAAGTGTATTCTACCCTATCCTAACACACCATTTCATATTACCTTCGTTGCTTTTTTCTCTCTCAGTTGACACCTGACCTTTGCTGGGTCACCCTTTGGTTTCAGAGTTGGATGAAGCACATTCCATAGGGCATGAGGTCCAGTTCTCTGACCATGTTCTCCTGGAATGAAACAAACATACTGCGGGTTAAACTTGACCCAAAGGAAATGAGACATGGGTTGAAGCCAGGCTGATAAATCCTGCCACCTTCCTCCCTTCTGTGGACTCTTTTAAGGTACAGAGGTGTGGAAGCCCTTCTACAGAAATCCCATCCTGTCTCTTAAGAGCTTATTGCACAGCTGCGGCCAGCGCAGTAATATATAGTATCTCTTTGCTTCCCATCTTCCTTCTCCTTTCCCCCTCATCCTCACTGGCTTGGGTGCACTGAAACAAAGTGTTGAATCTTAATCTTTCATCCAGCTTTGATTTCTAGAGGGTTTTATGCAAGAGAGCAGGTGAAGTGCTTAGCACAGGCGTGGGCTTCCTATGCATTACAAGGAAACGGCAGCTCCTGCTCCTAATAAATGCATCTCCTAAAGCACTTCTCACATTGCATTCTGGGTTGTGGTGCATGTGTCTCCCTCAGTGGGCTGTAATCTCCTTGACTATGAGATTGTATCTCTCTATCTCTTTTTTTTTTTTTTTGACAGAGTCTCGCTCTGTCACCCAGGCTGGAGTGCAGTGGAGTGATCTCAGCTCACTGAGACCTCCACCTCCCGGGTTCAAGAGATTCTCCTGTCTCAGCCACCGAAGTAGCTGAGATTACAGGTGTGTGCCACCACACCTGGCTAATTTTTGTATTTTTAGTAGAGATGGGGTTTCACCATGTTGGCCAGGCTGGTCTCAAACTCCTGACCTCAGACATGAGCCACTGTGCCCGGCCAAGACTGTGTCTTAATTCAACACTGGGTACCTTTCATGTTGTGCAGTGTTGTTGCTGTGATATGTTTGTTGTTGCTGTGTTTGCTTATTTTTTTCTGTATAGTTCCTGTGTTGCTTGTTGTGTGGTGTTGTGTTTATTACTTGTAATGTACTAGATTCTTCTATTTCTTGATCTTCTGGAATTGAACACAACCAATCGCTTTTATTATTTATTTATTTTTTGCTTTTCTGTTTCTTTCTTAAGCTTGTGAGGTCTTTAGGTGAGAGTGGGAAGGGAGTGGCTCCCAACACACAAAACATCCAAGGAAGAAGTTAGAGTTCCATTTATAAAACCTACGGAAATGGCTTCTTTTTCTGTTTTAAGCAAAGCAGTGGAGATGTTCTATTCTGAAGGTTGCAGTCAACACTATTACAAGGTGCAGGGACAGGTGGGAGAATTCCTTTCTATCAAAGTCTTAGACTGGTAGAGTTAGCAGTAAGAGGAATGCAACCCATTCATTTTACTGATGAGGAGACAGAAGGTCAAGGTGGACCATGGTGGGGTTTGACTCAACACTCTGGATTCCCCATCCCGATGGTTCCTTCTATATCACAGATCCTAGCTTACAAATACAAAGTTTAATTCCTCAAAAAGGCATGTAATTAAAAAAAAATCCCAACACTCAGGTATCTGATCCCTGACTCATCATTTCTTCCTGTGTGCCGAGATGGCTTTGGCAGACGTTGGGGGAGCTTCTCCCCACTCTATTGGGAAAGCAGCACCAGCTCCTTCCTCCTCTGGATCCCCTCAAGGGGGCCAAAATGCCCACCCTAACCCTGATACTTTCTCCCCACTCCTGTGGAACCTCACTCCCTCATCCCAAGCAGTACCTGGGTTCCTAATGCCCCAAACATTCATAAATTTAACACATGTTTATTGAGAACATACTGTATACTAGCTGCTTGTTAGGTACCGTGACTACAGCAGCCAGCAAGACAGTCCGGGACCCAGGCCTGCTCGTATGTTCACTCTCTCCTCTTCACTAGGGTCTGGGAGAGAGCTTTGAGGATTGAGACTCAGCCCAAGGTGAGTCCTGGATGGTACTCAGCCTTGATGTAGACCTCGTGGATATTTTTTTAAAAATTATTTAAATATTTTTGATTTATAGAGTGATTGAACACATAGCGTTCCATATACCTCCTCCCCACCCTCTCTCAGTTTCCCCTATTACTAACATCCTGCATTGGTGTGGTATACTTGTTACACTCGATGAGCCAGTAGTGATACATTACTGAGTCCTAATGTTTTTACTAGGATAATTACTAAAATCCTTATTTAGGTTAGAGTTCACTCTTTGTGTGGTATAACCTGTGGGTTTTGAAAAACGCATAATGACATCCATCCACGATGACAGGATCAAACAGAAGACCTCCACTGCCCTAGAAACCTCTGGTGCTCCGCCTGTTCCTCCCTCCCTTCTAACCCCTGGCAACCATTGCTGTCTTTACTGTCTCCATGGTGTGGCCCTTTCCAGAACATCACAGAGTGGAAACCACGCGGTGGGAAGCATTTTCAGACTGGCTTCTTTCTTGGTTCACAGGAAGAAATGATGAATCAGGGATCAGACACCTGAGTATTGGGATTTTTTCTTTTAATTACATGCCTTTTTGAAAAATTGGACTTTGTATTTGTAAGCTAGGATCTATGATACCGAAGGAACCATCGGGATGGGGAATCCAGAGTGTTGCGTCAAACCCCACCAAGGTCCACCTTGACCTTCTGTCTCCTCATCAGTAAAATGAATGGGTTGCATTCCTCTTAGTGCTAACTCTACCAGCCTAAGACTTTGATAGAAAGGAATTCTCCCACCTGCCCCTGTACCTTGTGATAGTGTTGATTTCACTTCAGATTCCTCTATGTCTTGTTGCAGCTTGCCAGCTGATTTCTTCTTATTCCTGAATAATGTGGGAGTCTTTTTTGTAGAGCCTCCCGGGTGGTTCCACGGGGGAGCTGAGTGGAGCACCTGTGGTCTTGTGACCTAGTCCCCAGCATGGAGTGCTCGGAAGTGCCCTCCGTGAACATGTAAACATCCCACCAACTTGCCCTCCCTTCTCTTGATATTTTGATGTAGTTTTTTTTTTGATGGTCTTTTCTTATTTCTGGGTCTCAGCCCCCAGATACACTTTCCACCCCATGTCCTAACCTATACTCTGTAGCACACCGCACCTGTCCGGGGCGATTGGTCATCACAGGCCCGGGTCCACGTCTCAGCTCTGCTTCTTGCTGGCCACGAGGCTGCGTGCTCCTTACTGGCGTCCGCGTGCCTGTCTGTACAGTGCAGGAGCAGGAGCATCTGCCAACAGATTTCTTGTGAGATTCTGGTTCCGAGGCCTCCAGACGGCGTGGGAGCACCGCCTGAGTCCTGCTGCATTCTCTCTGCTGCAGACGCAAGCCTGGTTCCTGTGTGGGGTCCCTCAGGGGTGGTGTGTGTTTCACAGGGCAGCAGAGAGCCAGGGGGCTGGGGCTGCCCATGGGGAGTGTGTGAATCAAAGGAACAGACCGCAGCTGGAGCCACCTCGCCCAGATTCCTGAACGCAGCCTCTTGACAGACCGATTGTGTAATGGCATTCCTCCCAAGGAAACACGCCTGCCCCCTCCAAGAAGGTGTGAGAGCTTCCCAGACACGGAAAGGGCCCTGCTGGGTAAATTAATTCTTCATTATTCCGTTCCCGAGGCTCTCCCATTGGCCGAGTGCCCGGCACCAACAGACGCCTGCCCGCATGGGGTCAGTCCACACGCAGCTGACGCTGAGGCTCAGGTAGTCTCCTTGGTCCCACCAAGCCGAGGATGCATTCAAATAGATGCAAATTTCCATCCAATTCCTGTCCGCCCTGCCCGGGATAAGGGGCCTGCTGTGGCTGTGCAAGCCGGCTTTCTGGTGTCTAAATACTTCTCTGGTGAGGACACACCTGTTCGCGTCTGCTAGCACACCACAGGTGGGGTTTATTGTGTGGGGCTGGGATTTGGCCAGCCAACTTCTGGAATTCATTGTTTATCTCTCCGTCACCATAACAAATAACCCCCAGACCTGGATACACCACCTTCGGCTAAGGCCTCAGTGTGGGGTCATCAAAAATGGCAAGCTGGCCAGCCCCGAGGTGAGTGAGGGCCAGCACAGGCCTTGGCCTCTTGGGGTCGGGTAGGGCTGCTACTGGCAGGTGGCGTGAGGTCTCTACCGCCTCCGAATGACCCGCGCCCCTTCTCCCTTCCTTTCTGTCTCTCCCTTTTTCATTCAGGATGGAGGCAGAAGAGTCACCAAGTCTGGAACCCACGGCTGCCGTAGAGGAGGAGCTGGGTCATGCTTGGCTAGACACCATATCGCTCTCATCCTGTTTTCTCATTTGTGAAATGGGAATGGCGCTCATGCTTCTCCATGGGATGTTGGGAAAGGAACATGAGGGCATCCATGGAAGTGTTTGAGGCATGCCTGGTCCAGGGGGAACCTCCAGAAATGACACCTATGATCCCCCAGCTGTGTTCCCATTAAACTAACACTCATCCGGCCTGGAGCTGGGGTGCAGCGATGAGTATGACCTAGTCCGAGCCCCAGGAATGTGGGCAGTAGGAAGGGCATGACCATGAAAGACGTGCTCAGGGGACCCCTTCCAGGTGTCACCAAAGAGCCCTGGGTTGTGGTGTGGGCTGGAGCAGGGCAGGTGGGGGGCAGTGCGGGTGGGTACAGTCTCTGATGCTAGACACCTGGGTTCACAACCCTGGGCCTGCCTGTTACCAGCCATGCGACTTCACATTTGGGGAAACTGAACCTCAGTTTCCCCAAATGTGAAATGGAGTCGATGCTCATAGCAGCTTCTCTTGGGGTTGTTGTGAGACTGAAACAAGTATTTGTACCATACACAAATACTCAGTGCCTGGCAAAAGTTATCTAAGTGTCTGTTAAACATGTAGCTGTATCTACACGTTAGGGGGCCGACCTCACCGTGCTGAGAGGCAAAAATGGAGAAAAAGAGAGGTTGCCAAGATTCTGTTCCTGGTGGGCCCAGACTTTGGAGTTTCAGAGACGGGTGAGAGAAGGAGTCGGGGCAGGCAGGACCCTGGTGTGAGTAGCATGCTTCATGAAAGTGCCTGGGAGAAACCTTGGGACGTCCTTGTCTAAACTAGACTCCTGGCCTGCAGAGAGCCGGTCTCCACCTCCCTCAGTCCCTGCCACCCGCTATCTTTCTGGGCTGCCTGTACATCCTGCTGCAGCCTTCCAAGGGCTGTCCGACAGGGAAACCGGAGCTGCAGGCAGGAGGCGCGGGCCGTTTCATCCACTCAGGGATGGGAGTGAGTTACAGGTGTGGCCTTTGTTCCTGAGCACAGGCGGGGATAATGCGTCCTGACAGCCCAAGGATGGGCCCCTGGCAGCCTTCATCGGCCTGGCCCGAGCCCCAGGGCAGCCCTCATGGGCACCCGAATTACAAAACGTCCTGTGAACTCTCCCCACGGTCCCGGCCTCTTCATGTGCTTCCAACGCTGGCGGCTTGGACACACCTGGGAGCAGCCGCAGCCCATTCACGAAGCACTTTGGTGAAGGTCACCATCTGCAGGGACAGAGCAGGTATTGTCAAGGACGCCAGCCTAGACTTTGTGCCCCGCCGGCTGCCCCGACCACAGGAATTCCTCACGCTCACCCTCACCCTCATTCACACCAGGAGGGCGCCCACTGCTGCTGGGGGCAACTTCCCTCCCTCTCTCCCCGTGCTATTTTCAGGCCGGAGGCTGGAGCCTCGGCCAAAGGAACCTCACCCACCATTTTCCAAAACCTGATTGCTGTGTCTGTGTCTGTGATGGGCACAGACCCAGGGGCCAGGCCTGCCAAGACTCTCCCCATGTGAATACCTGCACAGGGCACCTCCTGTGGGAACCGGGAGTCACACAGAGCCTGGCATTTGTCCCCAGCCTGTCTTGTGACATTAGGTAGATCAAAGCCCCATTGTAAAAAGTCGTGTTGCCTCTGTTCATCTGCTTGGAGCCTGTGTCCTGGGACGGCCCTTCCCTCGGCTCTGGCTCGGGGAGGGAGCTGACCGCCAACGCATGTGCTCCCATTCGGGCCCTAGCGTTCCTCCTGGAAGGAGCCCCACCGAAAGTGAAATTGCCTTTCATGGGTCTGAGGCTGGGGCACACCCTGAGAAAGAATGAGAAAGCGTGGGGCAGCGCAGCTCCTCTCCAAAGTCTTCCGAGGAACAAGTTCCTACTTGGCTCTACTAAGGAACAGCAACGAGGCAGAGAAAAATGTCACTGACGCCGAAATCCTGGAGGCTTCCTGAATTGGCGATGAGGGATGGGGAGCTGGCAGAGGCTGGGGTGGGGGCAGCCTCTGTCCAGCAGCCCCTTGGGGCATGGCAGGGAGGGAGGGGATGGAAGGAGGTGAGAAGACACGAGGCTTTGACAATCCTGAATAGTGAGTGGTGGGGCGAGTTCAGATCCTTCCAGAGGGCACAGCTTCCCCTTGACTCCCAAGCCTGACCATTGTGTGTCAAATGAGGGGCAGTCAAATTGCTTAACCACCTGATTGGCAACTTGCGAGCTGGAGGGATCTTTACCCACTTTACACTCCTTAGGTAGTCCATTGGTATGGGCTGCCTGGAGCATGTGCTGAGATGGGAGGAGAATGTGCCAAGATGGATTAATAATGTCTGGATGGCTGCCAGTCTCTTAATGATGGTGTGTGTGTCATGTGTTTGCCATCTCTGGTGTGTTAGTCAGGATAAGCTAGGGTTTGCTGCCATAACAAACATATCTCCAAACCTCAATTGCTTATTGCTGTGAGAACTTATTTTCTCTCACACCCAAAGTGAAGGGGGTGGCTTTTTAGGACAGCTGTGCTCCATGCAGTGATTCAGGGATCCAGCCTGTTTGCATCTCACATGCTAATGGAAGATCACATGGTACTTCTCATGGCCTCAGCCTGGAAGTGACATGCATGTCTCTTTTTACTTTTCATCCTCCAGAACTGCTTCCATGCAATCTGATTCCTGACTCCCTCAGAAGCCAGCATGGGTCCAGGAGGGAAGAAAGTGGGAGGGGTCTGTGGGGCAAAGAACATTATCTCTACCACACTCAGACCCATCCTCTTTGTTATAGAGGATTGGGTCTCTGTAACTCAATAGGGAGGTGGGACATGCTTTCTAGACAAGCAAGTGACTTGAACAAAGTCAACAAGGGGTGTTGGCACTGTTGGGACCAGCCTAACTACCATGTAGGCTTTTTTTTTTTTTTTTTTTATGTACCACAGTGCCAAATTATCTAAGTCATTTTTTCAATCTATCTCTCATTTTTCCTGTGAATCTTGTCATCCCCAGAGGTGCCTTCTCTTACTGGAAAGTCTAGTGGAGGGGCCTGTCCCTTGGTGGATTCTGCCAATGGATGCCCTTCTTAGAAGCACTGTGTCCTCTTTGCTGGGGTAAAGCCATTCAGTACTGAATGACTCGATGAAGGTAAACCATAGCTGCCCAGAATCCTGGACACGTGAGGCCTGCTCTTGATTAATCTATATTCCTTATTCCCCAAAGGGAATGGCAAAATCCTGGAGCTATGCTCATGTTTGAGTTCTGTATTGGGCAGGACCATTTTGGGTGTGATTGGCTTGTGCATTTGTGTACTTGAAAAGCTCAGGGATTTCAGTTTCAGGAATGGCTGGATTCAGAAGCTCAAATGATATCAGAACTCAATCTCACTTTCTCCATTTCCCATTTCTGTCTTCCTCTGAGAAGGCTTTAATCCCTGGATCCGCTTTGATTGGTGAGACTGGGGTCACATGTCCAACCCTAAACCAACTACCATAGCCAGGGGAATAAGAAACACTGATTGACCAACGTGGATCTTGCAGACCTCTTTTGCCCCTCTTGATCCTCCTGGTCTGAAAAAGGCTTGCACTGGGATGGGGCCCTGATGCACAAGACATGGTCAGTGCCCCACTTTGCTCTCGCCTGTTGATAGTGACACACGTTCCAGGCCTTCCATGCTGGAGATGTAGGAGATCATACTGCGGAAGCCCAGTGGAAGGAGATGCTCACTCTGCCCAGGAAATGGATCATCAGGGAAGGCTTCCTGGAGAAGATATAGTTACCAGACAGCCAAAGGAGAATGGGGAGGGCATAGCAGCACTGGAAACAGCAGGGGGAAAGGCAGGAGGGCAAAAAGACCACCCTCATCAGAGGACTCTGGTCGTTCAGTGTGATGGTGACTTGTTGGAAGGGGTGAGTAGCAGGGGGAGGGACAGACAGGAGTCAGGGCTAGTGAGGCTGTCTGGGGCCTGTTCTGACTGTGCCATGAGATTGGGTGAGCTGGGTGGGAGCCCTGAGGAGCAAAAGCAAACTTAAATTCCAAGGGAAGAAGAATGGGATGTGGGCTGCTGTAGACCTCAGATGGCTGGGCAGAGAGTAGGTGATGGGCATTTCTTTATTGTGATCCTGGGGCAGAGATGGATCTGGTGCCTAAAGAGGCTGGTCAGGCCAGGAAGCTCATCTTCACAAGGTGGCAGGAGAGAGAGAGTGAGGAAGGAAGTGCCACATTTTAAAATCATCAGATCTCATGAGAACTTACTCAATATCATGAGAACAGCATGGGGGAAATTGCCCCCATGATCCAGTCACCTCCTACCAGATTCCTTCCTAACACATGAGATGAGATTTGGGTGGGGACACAGCCAAACCATATCATCCGGGGACAAGGGATGTGAGCACCACAGCTCCTCAGAGCAAAGCTGTCACTGCAGCTTGGGTGGCCACAGGAGATGGAAATACCTCACTCTGCTTAAGCCTCTCTGATGCCGGGCACCCTGTAACTGCAGCCAAACCCACTTCTTAATCCCTGGGAACCGTGAATACATGACCTTACATGGCAAAAGGGACTTTGCAGTTGTGATAAAGTGAAGGATCTTGACACAGGAGAGGACCCTGGGTTGGGAGGGTGCCCTCCCTTGTGAGAGGGAGGAAGGGGGGTCGGAGCCAGAGGAGATGTGCAGATGGGAGCAGGGCTTGGAGAGCTGTACTTTGAAGAGGGAGGGAGGGGCCACCAGAGCAGGGATTTGGGTGACCTCTAGAAGCAGAAAAGACAAGACAAGAATTCTCCTGGAGGGTCCACAGAAGGAGCACAGCTCCATTGAGGACTTCTGACCTCCAGGATTCTGGGATCAATAAATGTATGCTGTTTAGAAGCTGCTAAGTATGTGGTCATTTATTACAGCAGCAATTGGAAACGAGTATACGAGTCCCAGCTAACACACCTGCCACATTCCCTAGCGAAAGGCATAGCCTGGTAATGGAAGGGCCCAGCAGTTCGGGTCCTGGGTCTGCCCTGGCTCAAGTGCCCTGGGTGCTGCTGGCCCCTGGACATCGTGCTCCTTTCATCTCTGTTTCTCTCTTCCATGGATACCTGCCATTCACTCACTCATGATTTTTCCATTCCCCTATTAAGGCCACCGAGTGCAGGGATGCAGGAATGGAGGAAAAGAAGAGGAGCAAAGGCTGCTGGCCCCGTGTCCCCTGCCTCTTCCTTCTAGTGGGAGGGCCTGGGGTGCAGACCCGATGCTGGGCCTCCAGCTCCCTAGCACACAGTTGCATGTGAGAGGCTCCTGCAGACAGGTGCCATCATGGGCTGAATTGCATTCCCCCAAATTTATGTGTTGCAGCCCTAACCCCCAAAACCTCTGCATGTGACTGCATTTGGAGATAGGGCTTTAAAGAGGCAATTAAGTTTAAATGAGGTCATTAGGGTGGACTGGTGTGTTTATAAGAAAAGGAGATTAGGACACACAGAGAGGGACTGGGAGAGACTGGCCCCTGTGAGGACTCTGAGGGGCAGAGCCCTGTTCCTGGAGCCTCTGCATGCACTGGGAAGTTGGGGGACTAGGCAGGGTCCCCAGCCATGGCTGAGGCTGTCCCTCCTAGGCTTCCCACCTTGCAAAGCCAGAGTCACCCTGCTGGTCCTTGACTCACTCTGTAGAGCCCCTTCCTGCCTTGGCCAAGCTTCGCCTGGGCTAGCATCAGTGAGAAGATACTTGGGAAGAGTTTTTACCCACTAAAGGCAGCTTAGGAGGAAGGAAAGGCAGCAGGTAGAGTGAGCACTGGGGGTTCGAGTGACAGGCAGGCACAGGAGGAGGCTACCAGGGTTCCACCCTTGTGACACAGCACCATGGAGTTCCTGTGTTGGTCTCTGAGCCTTTGCCCATGTTATTCCCTCTACCTGGAAGTTATGCCCCTTCCCTGGGCCAGCTCTGATCCTCCTCACCAAGACAGGAAGAGAGTAGGGACTACTGTCTGCCAGATCTCTGCCCACACCATTGGCACCTTGTCCACAGAGCACTCCTGTGACCGCCCAGTGCCTTCCTCAGGCCACACACCTGGGCTCATGGGGACCACTCATGCCCAGGGGATGGGAATAGAGCCTTATTTTCAGACCCAGGGTTGATTTCATGAGATTTCCTGGGAGGCTGTTTATTGAAAGGGGAAGTCCTAAGAGATGAGGAATTCACCCAGTAAACTGATGAATCTGATACTTATAGAAAAATCCCCTTCCCGCAAGGGGCTTGTATCTTCTGACCCTGCACACTTGTCTGTTCCTGGCATTCGCTGTTTATCTGCTGGGAATTAGAAACAAAACAAAACAAAAAAGACAGCTATTAGCATGCAAACCCCAGCAGAACTGGCCCCCTGTGATTTGCATGAGAACAAAAGCTCTTTCCAATGTCCTGGGGCCCAAGTCTTCAGGATAGCTTTAACTTCTGAACCAAACAGGGCTTCAAAGCCAGAACTGGGGAACTCTCCATGTGGACTCTCTGGACCAGCAGCATCAGCATCACTTGGGCAGTAGGTAGAAAGGCAAGATCTCAGGCCCCTCCTCAGACTTGCTGAATCAGAAACCTTGGGAGTAAATCGAGAGATAGTCCATGTTCATGGATTGGAAGTCTCAATATGAAGATGCCAATTCTTCCCAGTTTTATTTGCAGATCAGCACAATTCCATTCAAAGTCACAGCAAGCTATTTTATAGTTATTATAAAACTGATTCTAGAATTTATATGGAAAGACACAGGGAACAGTGTAACCAATGCAATTCTAAAGAAGGAGATTTAGGGGAGGGTTGGCCATCTGTACTTTAACAACCCCTCGAACTGGGTCTGATGCACACTATAGTTGGGGAACTGTTGGGATAGTAAGGAAATTCTGGGGGAGGGAGTGGCTGGGGAGGGAGCCACATCCAGAGGCCTATTCATTCACTGAACCCCATCTATTCCATTCCAACTCCCTCTTCAGCCTTGAAACTGGACTTCTTTTGGTGGCAGGGTCTGAGTGTTTAATGCCTTGCTCCTGCCTCTCCCTTTTCATTATTCCTCTCTTTGATAGAGGAGCTCTATCAAGAAGCTCTCAAGGCCTGTCACCCACCTGACTCACCCAATAAAACTGACATCTTCATTTCTCATCAAACACATGCCAAGAATTGCTTTCGGGGTGGAGAAGGAAGTAAATCTGATTAGGCAAAGATGAAGTTTTCTCTAGCATAAAGGGTTGGTGAGAAAAAAGGCAAGTTATGCCCATACATGAAAAGAGCTTGTTTGTCATATATGTATTAAATACCAAGGTAATCTTGACCCCTTTTGCAAACCAACAGCTGATTAATAATTCAAACAAATGCTGCTCAATTGCATCTCTATCACCAC